AATGAGAAACTACGGCTCTTTATTCCTTGGGGAGAAGACCTGCGTCTCATATGGTGACAAGGCAAGTATCCTCGGCCCCCTGCATCAACAAGCGGTTGCGGTAGAATATAGCTAAATCTTTCGCAGTGCATTGGGACGAACCACGTGCTGCCGACGCGGAAAGCGGGAAGGTATACTGGCGGTTTGTGGGTTGGCAAGTATCTAAAGACACAGACGTACCAAGAAGTAGTAGACGAGAAAGCGAGTGGCGAGATTGGACGCCTTTGCGCATGTTGCTCGAGAGCTGAGAATTTTGAGGGGCATGCGAGGTCTGGAGACTTGAGAGCGCATAAATATCTTGAAGATGCGTACACTTGGATTGACGAAGCCAGGAAGTAGTATATCTATAAGATTTCCGAAGAATTTCTTCTATGATTTGGTTGTAATAAGTGAATATTGATGCGTTCGAGTACCAATACGCTTAGAATAGGAGTGATTCTCTTTTCCATCCCCTATAGTTCGCTACTGTACAATATTATTTTATAGCTGGTAGATACCTCTTACAACCTTTTTATAATGCATCGCTAAATCTCAAGAACAAAAAACATGCCTTCAATCTGCTCATGAGTTTGCATCCGACAACGCCGATCCCGCGTACTCCCATCGTAAGCAATGCGTATCATGCTAAATACCAATGAAATATGCTGCACCAACTGCAACCAGCGCGGCTGAGAAGAGAGACTGCGACGACGATAGACCCATAGCTCCGCTGCCATCATGGTCGTTGGAACCATTGTCCATGGTGGACAGAGACGCCCTTGCGGGTCCCACGACTTTGATGCAGGACAAAGAAGCTTCGGTTTCAGTGACCAGGCTTCCGTCACCTGCCGAGTAGAACACCGTGATGATGGGTGTGATCGCAAACATAGCCTTCTCTAGTTCACTGGCGTATTCACCTCCCTATTGGCTTATTAGATGGCATTTCAATATGTCAGAGCCAGATATGGGACGTAGACTACATACCGTATAGTTATACTTGCTAACTAGAGTGAGATCATCCTGTTTTGGGATGATAGGCCAACAGTTTGACGACGAGTTTTGCTGCTGGGTGATAGGTTTCGGTGCATCTTCACCAGTTAAGGCTATTACGAGGTTAGCTATTACTGCAACGCGATACAAGAATAAATAAGTGCATGTTCGGAGGTGCTTCCAATGGAGCACATCTTTGATCTCGGAGAATTTTATTCGAACTTACTAGTGCTAGTAAAATTGCTCCAATGGCCCTGGGAGATCTTCGCACAAGCTTCATCATTACTATCCTCCAGATCTTCCTGCAGCCTCGAGCATACCTCGGAGACAGAGAGCTTCTCGTCGCCGCTGTTATACCCATTTACCAGATTTCTCGCCCGTGAGACCAGCGCGTCGACACAGGATGAGCCCATGGCATCCGCGCACGTGCCCTGCGCAGGCTCGCTGTTCTCGCCGGGGAACGCTAGATTTTTAGACGCTCCATGAAGGAAGACTGCGCACGCGCCCGTTGAGTTATTCAACTGCAAGTCCGGCGGTGTGCCCAGGTAAAACGTGTTTTGGAATTGTCGCTTGTTGTCAGATGAGCCGACATCGAAGCCCTTAGTCCATGATATCCCGGAAAGGGCGTCATTGTCAGTCGGCACGCGGGTTAGTCCGACGTAGATGAAAGAGCCCGTATCAGCTACTGTGCAATCATCACTTGTGCTGCCCGGGCCGTCGGCAGGACATTCAAGATCGGCACAGCCCACAATTGTCTGCCTGAGATCTTGAGCGTGGACGGTCGCCGCCGCCAGCGCCGAGATAGCGAAGACTTTACGCAAGTTTCCCATTGGGATGGAAGATTTGAGAATTGGTGATGTGAAGGTTGGATTACTGAATGAAGAACGCAAGAAAGCAGGGGAAGAGATCGGTGAGAGTATATTAGAAAGATATTTTGGTAACAAAGAAAAATAATTATTACGAGAATTTGACCATTTTTCTCAATTGGGAACTTCCAAGACTTCGGTGTCCGTCCGGTTATTTGTCAGGGGCTCCAGCCGTACGTTGGCGCCCTCGCATTGAGGCGCTGATGGAGACAGCTTGTACAGCTGCTAGATATGATTCAGAAGGCGATTTGATAGGGTCACAAGCTGAATGGAGATTCAGGGCGTAGGGCTACTGCTTGGCAGAGCCCCTTGCGGGTATGCCGTCATGGCCGCATGGCTAATAAAACAAAACAAACGACCAAAGCTGGGAAAAAGACGTGGTGGCATTGTAAAAGGTCACCTGCCTAAAGCGTATTGGATCATTGGATCAGTAGCCGTTTGTTAATATATTAATAGACATTAACAAGACGCCAAGATCTGCTTCTCTCACGTGTAACCAACCAGCGTTGCGGGCGGTGTGCATAATAGAACTCGAAAGGTTTACATAGCAATTCAGTTAGCCTGGTCGACCTGGATGATGGGGGTGGCAAAGCACGCACCTAAACAGGAAAATGATACACTACCCCATAACTTGACAATTTATTCTAAACGTTGCCGTCGCTAAAATCAAGATATACTGCATGGAACCCATAGAGCTGAAGCTGCAATGGTGTAATCTATTTCCCTTTTCAACAGCTGATTCAAGCCTCATGTACCTTGACCTTCCATAATGGTTATTTGAATAATATCCTAGCCGTGCTCTCATCTTAACTTTATCTTCTTGAAGGAATCTTCATGCACAAAATACCCGTCAGTCTTCACGAAACGTTTCATTGTTTATGCCGCACCATGGAGAGCCGCACTGCTTACCCGGGCATGAGCTATAGCCTGATCAGTCGAAAGAATGCGAGCCTGGGCGCTCTTGGCTAAGAAGCTGCTAGGTTTTGATATTGCATTCTGACATTATAGCTTGATCCTTCAGCTCGTGACGGTGGACATTATCTAATTACTGTGTACGATATCGCAAATGAGCGCCATAACGTAGCATAGTAATACTATTGGTGACTTCGTAAACTTCAAGACGTATATATGCTCTCTTGATGCCCATCTCGAACATCCATCAACAATCACCAACAAGCTATTTCATGAGCCGGTAGGGTTTCTTTTCGAATCCAACTATTTACATTCTTTACGGCCAGGGTGCCTCACATTCTTTTAAGATCTGCGAAATATATCACTCTCTTTTTTCAATTACAGAATATTCTTATTCACCACTTCATTAGTTCATAATGGCAGGCGTCATAGAAGCGATCGGCGTGCTCTCGGGTGTGCTTGGAATCCTCCAGTTTGGCATCGACCACTTCCCGAAGGACGACGGCCCGAAGTCAACTGTTAGGATAACTGTCGGATTAGACACTCCAGGTGGCCTTAACAACGCTGGCGGTGACCTTCCTGATGTTCGTCTCTTCAACGAGGCCGGCAAGTTCATTGGTATCAACGTAGACCCGGGTTACGTCTCGGATGGCGGCTTCGGCGATATCGAAATCAGCCACAAAGGAGATACAAATCAGCAGCCAGCTTATGCTCTCTTCTCGGCTAACAATAATGCCATCTGCATTGCTCACGCCACCGTGACTTTCCCGGGCAACGAGAGGTATACCTGGGTCGGTGACTGGGGTCGCCAATGTGGTGGTACTTGGTAATTCATCCCTATTCTTAACAACTCCGTGGTTGCTCGATACTAACGATGATGGTACTAGGTACTACTCAAACATCTACGTCGACAGCAGCAACCGAAAGGTTGACTGCCTGTGGATTGACGGCAATAATGACCAGCCGCAAACCGGATTCCAGGTGCACTGGCCTGAGTTCGTGAACAAGGACGGCGAGCAGCTTCCCTCCGACGAGAACGCCATGGCCGACAAAGTCGACTACCTCTGCAACGGAGGCCCTCCGTTCAAGATGTACAAGTACGACGATGTCAAGGACCCGCGCGGCATTACGTACTGGGTCCTCGACCACAAGCGCTCCGAGAGCGGATCCGACAACCGCAAGATCGGAATGTCTTACGCGCCGCCCAAATACCCTACCTCCGCCAAGTTCGGCCGCGACTTGGGCCGCAACGGCACCGCTCCTTCAAGGCCTAACAGCCAGGCCAACCGCCTCGTAGTCAGTAATAACGTCCAGCACACGGCCACCGAGCTCTGTGAGAGCGAGACGTCCTACGGCCCTGACTTCGTCGACCTCAAGTACGGCGAGTTCTGCCGCATGTCTGACAAGACCCTCTGGCCGGTGTGCGACGGCGCTCAGACCGTAGACAACTGCTTCAACACCGACGTCCAGCAACTCATTGTGAACGGTGTTTCTGCTAGGGACACCCCCTACAGCAACGTTGTTGACTGGACCTCTGGTAACTAGATGGATTAGAATAATTATTCTGTATGCTTTTGGTTAGCAAGGGCGGAAAACATGTACTAGTAGATGATCATAGTTGGCGCATGGAACCGGGGTTGTGTGTTATTTATTAGTCCATACAGGTGCTTATTTGCGTGGTGGGTATGACTGCATTGTAGGGTATCCGGGTATTTGGGTTGATATTGTACCAATATAAGAGTTGTTTGACTCGAAGAAAGTCCAAATTAAGTCATCTGTCTTACAACGTAAGAGCGTTCTCACATGGAGACTCAATGTAGACTACTATAGAATCTTGTAGTTATAGAAAGTCTTGATCTCTTCAAAGATTGGGTTAAAAAAAGAAAACGTCTTGAATTTAAAAGTAGCGGAAAGAAAATACGGAAGATATAACGTTGGGGAACTATCAAATGTCGGACGTTACTAGTCAGCAGTGAGATATGTTGGTTGAATTAAGAGTATAAGCCATGTGTAACACCAACTACGAAAACAGTTGTTGCTCATAACAACCAACGAGGTGATAATAAATAGGCTTCTTTAAGCATCCACTAAGAGTTCTACTGGGATGTAATACATACCTACATAGGTACTAATACTCACATAGAAAAAAAAAGATAGAATAGCAAAATTTAAAGACTCGTAAAAGTTGAATATATGTAATCGACAAAAAGGACACTGCCCATCCTGGGGTCGAACCAGGGATCTTCTGATTTTCTTGTCTATTGTCAACAATAGTAACAGTCAGACGCCTTAACCACTGGGCCAATGGGCATTGAAGCTTTTCAAAATTTGGTAAGATGTGCTGAAAATTTTGCAACTTACTCTAATCTATTTACCCACCAAGCGTTGCCCACCACGCTATAACTCTTGGGCGGGTCTCTCGGGGGATCTAATTATCTATCTGAATTATAGGTAGCAAAGACTTTTTCAGTATAACTACCTAGTTATACTTCAATTCTCCTTTAGTTATAAGTGTAATATGATGACGATCAAGGGTTGGAAAGTTCGGGACTTGGCAAAAATATTACAGCTTAACGAAAGATATATAATCCCCCCTTGTTCTCCACCCCTCCATGATATCTTAAACAGCCGCATGTGGATATCCGAAGACTTGTGGATTAACGGAAATGGAGTTAGTGAACGCCGCATGGGTCAGATATACCTAACTAGTCCGGTTATACTTGCTTACGTTGACGTAGCCGTTGATAAACATCCCTCCCTCAAACGTTTATAATGCGGTTCCAACAACCATGGCATACGACCATCGCAGAAGCCAAGACCTCAACGATCATGTGGCCTTATAATGTAACGAATAGTATAGAAGTGTCTCCTCACCGCTTATTTCCTATTCTCGTCAACGTTCGGAGATACCAGGAGTTTGGAATCGCAAGGATGGCGTTCTTTGACTTTATAACCCATGTCGACATGCCACTTTCCTGGTATCCTTCGTCTTGGTATACAGGGTATTTGTCTGTTCGCGCATCGGTTATTATCGCGTGAAGATCGTCGTCGTCGCAGCTGGAAAAGAGATAATAACTACCTTACCTAATCCGTCAAAGAAGATTCGGAGTTACGGGACATGATATCTATTTGCAGCTTCGCATAATCTTCCAGCGAGGTTCGCTTCTCGAAGAAGCAATAATTCCTAATCAGGGATTCCTCAGCAGATCCGTCCAATGACAATCCTCGTCAGACCGTACGAATTATCCAATCATAATTATTCAAACGACCTCCATACTGGACGCGTGGATATCTTTATAACCTCTTTTGTCGAGTGTCCAGCTTGGCGTTGGAAAAGCATACGTGCAGGTGCCCCATAGAAATAATAGTTAATCGGAATGCTCTCGATAAACTGGGTATACCAAGACAGAAATCGTCGTTCTCCGTGGGGTTCCATGGTGCACATCCCGATATGGTAAGTTTCGGAACAGTACCAAGTTTCTCGACTTATACTGCATGTGGATAAGGTATTAAACTGAAAAGAAAAAAAAACTCGGGGCTGATATTACTTGGAGTATAGAATATAATTTTATGGCGATTGACTCGGTGTAGTAAGTAGTACGTTCTGATGCAGGTTTGTTCCGACTCCCCTATCTGCTGCCGATATAAATAACAGGTAGATAGTTGAACTATAACCCTACCTAGGTAAATATATATATCATTTGGAACTATGTATGTGCAACATCCCAGTTCCATTCCGTATCAAGCAATTGAAACAGCCTTATACTCAGCATGTCCATAAGGAGATCTCCGAAGGTTGGCATCTCACCCTTGGCTTGGGTAAACCAACGAGCTAACAGACCAACTGGGTAGATCATCTGGCACCATAGCGCTGGACTGCAAGGATCGCAAACCGGTAGACATGTGTTAGTCTACTTACGGTGCAGATGCGGTTATAAGAGCTTGAGATAGTGTTTCAGAAACCAAGTCGCACATATATAAACCTGCTTGGAGACTCTTACCTATCTCCTATGCAATATCATGAAAATAAAAGAGCAAAAGAACACTTCACTAAGTCACTACTGTCTTTACTCTGATTTCTGAGACACTTTAAGATCGCCCCATTTAAGCTTATACCAAAATGTCTACAGCCAACAATTCTGATGTTTTAATTGCTCCTGGATCTCTAGTAGTGGTGACCGGTGCAAATGGGTACATCGGATCCCATATCGTCGACCAGTTTTTACAACGGGGCTACCGAGTCCGTGGTACCGTCCGCGCAGTTTCCAGAGATCAATGGATGAAAGAGTACTTTGACAAAAAGTATCCGGGGAAATTCGAATTGGCCGAAGTGCCCGATATGGTAGTGAGCGGTGCATACGACGAGGCCGTCAAAGGAGCATCCGGTTTCGTGCACGCCGCAGCTCCTGCTATGGACTCGATGCAAAGCCCCGATCCTCACGTCAGAGTCAAAATCGTAGTAGACAGCACGGTGCGCGCTCTAGAATCAGCAGCAAGAGAGCCGGGGATCAAACGAGTAGTCTTAACGTCCTCTTCTGGATCTGCAGTGTTTCCTATCGCCAACAAGCCCGTTTCGATTGATTCAAACACTTGGAATGAATACTCGATTAAGGAGGCGTTTTCCCCACCCCCGTATGAGGGCGAAAAGCGGATGGTAGATGTTTATTATGCCAGCAAAACTATGGGCGAGCAAGCGGCATGGGAATGGGTGCGTTTGCACAAACCTCACTTCACATTCAATGCAGTCCTGCCTGATTTCAACACAGGGGCGCCAATTAATGTGGCTAGACAAGCCTCGAGGAGCACAGCCGGTATGATCAGCGTCTTGATAGAGAAAGGAGAAGCGCTGAAGCCGGAAGATGTCGTATTCCCGCCACAGTGGTACATCGATGTTAGGGACGACGCTGCATTGCATGTGGCTGCATTGATCTACCCCGATGTGGTGGATGAGCGCCTCTTTGGCTTTGCTTACCCTTTCAACGTCAACGATGTTATCCGGACGCTGAAAGCTTTGTATCCAAAGCACAAGTTTGGCGACGAGATCGCCGACGCTGGTAGAGATCTATGCACCGTGACAAACGAGAGAGCGGAAGAGCTGCTCAAGAGAGTTACTGGTCACGGATGGACGAGTTTGGAAGAGAGTATAAAGGATACTGCTGAAGCATTAGGAATACATTGATTGTATGTATATTGGACTAGTTGATGGTTTAGGATGTCAGTGCCTAACATTAGGTGCAAATAAATGTTGTATTGTATCGTATCTCGTATCCCGTATCCCGTATCGTATCTTGAGCGGTACAAAGTGCACCCGAAAAAGGGTGTTATAGCTTTACTATGTACGATAGTGGAACCTGTGAGTAGAGAAAACTAAATGCCCGAGTTTACGAGGGATTATTGTGTCAAGGGGATTGAATTTCTGGAACAGGCAGTTCGTCTGTGCGTAACGCCACTGCGTTTTTATTGGGTGCATCCTCTAGCATGGCGGGTTGCACCAAAGGTCTCCACTTTCGTCCTTTTCTTCGAAATACGTATCTTTTAAGTCTTAGAGACTGTGGTTCGAATCCCATACATCCTTTTCTTTTTTTCTTATAAATATATCCCATTTTGAAAAAGGTCTATTATTGCTGCTAGCTTCGCGTGCGTATGGCTGCGAGGCGCGCGCCAGCGCGCCGAGCGGCCTTACGCGCGCGAAGCTAGTAACAGTAAATGATTCCGGGGGGGGGGAGAGAGGGTGGCTAGTGTTGTGGCTTAAAGTTGAGTGATGATGTGGCTAAAAACAGCGTAAACTCGGGCTAATGTGGTGGCCTGCAGGGGTGCCCTCAAGTGTAGTGGATCGATTAAAAATACGCCTTTTTACTAAGCGACGCTAAATAGAGGTTGAACTGCTATACTTACGAGATACGGAATAGACTTTAAGCCGAATGCTACCCATGCACGTAAGTGACTTACCTAATGCTGCCGACTTATGACGCTAGAAGCTCCCAGCAAACGGGAATAAAGATTAAATTAAGAATTCTGTGTGTTTCTAAGGAGGTTAGGTAACTTGTAGTAGCACACTTCTAGAATTGTAACACAGCGGGTAGCTTCTCCCACGGAACAAGACAAATTACCTACAAGAGTGGGGGAAAAGTGGATGGTGCCATCAAAGATCACCCGGATGGCGTATGGAATCACATTTCTAATTGGATTGGAATGTTGCGTTGCCGTGCGACATCTCCATCTCTATCTCCATCTCTATGTGTAAAAATGTAATGTGCGTAATATATAAAGTACCATAGATTAAGTTTCCAAGGTTCATATAAGAAAATCCAGTCTTCTCAGGTGCATATGCAGATATAACCACCTTAATTATCAACATCCTTAAACCTTGAGTTGATTGATATAAAGTTGGAGAGAACCAAGGACTTACCGTAACGACTCAACCTTCAACCCCGCTCAGTGAACTACTTAGACGGACTCATCTCAAAGACTTCACGACTTAAACTATACTCACGAAAATGGCTCCCAAGATCTTTCTGTAAGTAAAGGGATGAAACTCACGCGGGGACTTGAACCAATATGAGTAAATGCTAATATGTCTCATAGCACCGGCGCCACTGGTACGAACCTTTGAGACCCAGCAACAAAAACTACGTCATCTGATTGATGCATACTGATAATATAAATTACAGGCTACATTGGTGGTGATGTCCTATACCAGCTAAATAAAGTCCACCCCGAATATGAGTATACCCTACTTGTACGAAACGAGGAGCGAGGCAAGCCCGTTGCTGCAGCTTACCCTAAGGCCCGTCTCGTCTACGGCACCCTGGACGATGCCCATGTGATCGAGAAGGAGGCCGCAGCAGCAGACATTGTCGTTCGTACGTTATACCCCTGATAAAAAGTACTTATTAAGAGAGAACAGTGAAATAATGACTGACAACGCTTAGACACGGCCGACTCAGCTGACAATGTCCCTTCTGCCAAGGCCATCGCCAAGGGTCTCGCGGCTGGCCACACAGCCGAGAAACCGGGTTACTGGATCCATCTCTGCGGAACGGGTATCCTGACCTGGTACGACATAGACAACAAGCGCTTCGGCCAGGCGCCGCTGCCGGAGCAGAAGTACAACGACATCGACGACATCGACCGCATCCTGTCGTTCCCGGACAGCGCGCTCCACAGGGACGTCGACAAGATCGTGCTCGCGGCAAACGACTCTCCCGGCGTCAAGACCTTGATCGTCGGCCCCCCTACTATCTACGGCCCCGGCCGCGGCCCCGTCAACCAGCGCAGCATCCAGGTACCCCATATGATCGAGTACACGAT